CGACAGACGCCGGAAGCGGAAGAAGGGAGCAACCTCCAAGAAATAGGCACCCTCCAGAACGCTATGGGAGCTATCTGAGGGGGAAGAGGTGTTATGTACCGGCGCCACCGGCAGGTGGACTAGGGAGCCGATGCCGCGAGCCTCGTGACAATCGCGTGCTAGTGAGAGCTCGGGCACTTGTTCCTGGACCGAGAACCGCGATGGACGCACCGTCCACACTCTAAAGCTGACAGTAAAGCTTGTATTTATCACCCAGGAAAAAGGCACAACTCGTCGAAAGCAAGTTTCGCCAGTCTCGCTGCGTGATCAAAGCTTTTTTGGCACATCGAAGTGCTGCGTCTCTGTGCCTTCGCACGCTTGCGTGCGGATGTGTTTTGCGAGTGCAATGTGCCTGAAGCCGTATGTGCCAGGGGAGCAGCGTTTTACTTTACTCTGACGACTGTATCTGTAACTTGCGTCACTCGCGGTTCAGAAACGAGCTTGGTCCAGCGTCTAGTGGCGATGGAAGGGGGCAAAAAAGAGGAAGAAACCGGTACTTCTTTTTCCGTTCGGCCGCACTAGAATACTGCGCAACAGCTCAATACTGATCAGTGTCATGAAAGGGGAACAGCGCGAAAATAAACTAGGCACGAGAAGAAGAGGTAACGGCAGACACGGCGCTGACTAGCAATTGAAGGTTTATTTGTGCAGAAAACACGAAATAAACAGGAAAAGAAAAACACAAACAACCCGTCAAAATGGTCCCACTCACACGTTTTTCTGTGGTCAAACGAACTTGCCACAAGTCACAAGTGAACTTTATCATGACTTGTGGCAAGTTCGTTTGATCGTAGATAAGCATGTGTGTGGAACCATTTTGACGGATTGTTTATGTGTTTTTCCTGTTTATTTCGTGTTTTGTGCACAAATTAACTTTCAGTTGCTAGTCAGCGCCGTGTCTGTCGTTACCTCTTATTCTCGACCCTCGTTTATTTTCGCGCTGTTCCCCTTTCATGACGTCAAACCAACTCGCCCAACTTTATGCGTTGCTGCACCGATCAGTGGTCTGGCTCATTATCAACAATTGCACGTGACATCAAGTTTGAGCGCGGGCGGTCAACAGATTGCACACGACCATATGGGCCATGCAAAGATTTTCAATATCGCCGTTTTGTACTTATGCCTTCGAAAACCATCCTTGCTCCACAACGTTGCTCTATTTGTGCTGCTATGTGATCCACTAGAGTATAGATTTGGAACATATAGCCGTGGTTAATAGTGCATAAGAGCAACCGTACAGATTGTTTTCCCCCTTTTTTGATAGCATGCACACTTTGCTCAGTGACATTTTAACTGACACTCTTACAATATCATTGAACCTGTTCTCGCAAATTGCAAGGAAATGAATGACTGCCGACGTCGGGAGTTCTGTAGGGAACCGAGCAATCGGTTTAGTGGCTACTATAGCCCACCTAGGGGTTTCGTATCAAAGGCACAGTGGTGGGGCGATCGCAGCAGACACAATCTCTTTTATCCTCTTTTCTGTACTGCAAAGTTCTTTTTTTATCGACAAAGGGTGACTTCCCTGACCCCTAGTTATTAGATACTAACCGACGTTGTCGAACTTTTAACACGTTTAATTGTTGTTGCCCTCAAGGAAAATATTGCAGTCATGAACGCTGTGAGCGCCTAAACGGTAAGCCTAGCCTCCATAGCCATTTCTTGTATTCATTTTTTGGTTCGGTCCATCAACCCATTCTTCGTTTCAAGATCAAAATCAAGTGTCTGCGTGAAGTCTTCATGGACACTTGTTATGTCTACAAACGCGTTGCTCGAGCGTGGGCTCTGGCGCACACAGTGATCGACATATATATATATATATTACTTTCGAAGCTTGTGTGCTTGCTCGGTACTCCCATATTTATGCAGTTTGTTTCCGAATAATCAATATGTCCTAAAAGATTGATGTTCTTTTTTTTTTCGCAGTTGAATAAAAACAGAAAATTACTTAAATACTACAGTATTTCTGCTGTTTGTCACAATGCTACCGCGCAAAAGGGGGTTGAGTGTACCTAAGAAGTTCCATTTGCATAATAAGCCAGGCTTCAGAATTATTTTTTTTATATTTTGAAACACTTTTTTGATGATTACGTAACAAGTACACGAAGGTAGCGCAGTAAGGCCGCGTTCACACTGGCGAGAAAACTCTTGTCTCCAAGCGAATTTACTGGGCGGAAAAAGACGGTGCCGTTCACATGTGTGTTGCTACCCGCTAGGTTCGCTGCCTCTGGATCGAATGGTGTTCGAAAAAAATGCTCGCGCAGACTTCTTTTTACAGATAACGGTAACCCGCAGTGCCGAGAAAATGCCCAACATTCTCTGGGCGATACGAGAAGGCAATATTAAAATAACGAGCAAATTAACAGAATCTGATTTTGTACACTTGAGAGCGGATTTGTTTTTAGTAGGGTGCCTTCATGTGCGCTCCCTAGTTTTTAGTGCCTCTTCTGCTGTTGCTCTTGGGGGAGGAGAAGGCACTGTCGAGCAGTTTTTTACTGCTTTTTCCCCTCGTCTCTCTCTTCTTGTATGAAAAGGAATAAAGAAACTTGAAACGTGCGTGCGTACCACCCACGCCAATTTTATTCCACAGATCTTTTTTGTGGGCACTGTCTTCGTTACTCAGATGTATCTTCCCAAACAGGCTTGAATAATCGAGTCACGAGCAGCGTTTCTGCCGACACAACGACATCAGCGAGACGGCGCCATTTGCACAACTTGGGAACTCCTACAACTCCGGCGGCAACCCCAAACAACTCCAGCGACTCGGCCAGGATGTGACGCCGGCGAGCGCCATTTCCTCCGTGCGTTACGATTGGCTGCGATGGCGGGGAATCATTTTCTGCGCGGGAAAAATCGCTCCAGGACCGATTGCACCCACGATCGAATATTCCGTCTCCGGCGAGAAATTCCCCCTCCTGGCGTCACCGCGGGTGTGAACGAGCTGTGGTGACACAGATCCAAACAAGAAACAACAATCAAAAGAAATAAAAGACGAGGTTCTCGAGGCGCGCGCAATACGCACGCCTCGACAGAGAACGCTTGAGAATTCGAACAGGTCGGATGCTTGGCTCTTTCTTCCCCACAGAGCCATAATTGTGTTGTATGTTTAGACAGCGGCAGGTTAGTCAGCCATAGTGTCACTGACTCTCAATACTCTGTTCCTGTTCCTACAGGGAATACACAATGGACGTCAGGGGGTACACACTGAACGTTGTATTTGAGGGCGATGTTTAGCCCTTTCTACTGGGAGTGTTTGGCACTCTTTTGAAGATGCCACGTTACGTATATGTAAGGGGCACACCAGTCCGCCACTCTCTGCTGCAGCAGGGAGAGGGGGGGGGGGGGGGGGGGGGGAGAAGGGCAAGTGGGCTAGCGCACACACCGCACACCAGCTCGGAGCACGTGAAGCGAAAGCTCGCGCTGCAGAACCTAAGATCCTGGGTTCAATCCCCACCCCTGCCCGTTCCGATCTGGGTGAGCATCGTACCGGCATGCAGTCGTTTATCACTACTGCGTGATGCACGTTAAAGACCCCAGGCTGGCGGTTGTACTGCACTGGCTAAATTGCTCATCTACAGCTGGGAGACTCGTTGCCCGTTGAGGCAGACCAAGTTCTAGGCTGTATAAACATACACAACCCAATAGACTGATCTCACAACTAGTTTGAGTACGCCACCGCTGCCGCCAAGCATCGTGGGAGCTGTAGTCTTTCTGCATGCGCGACAATCCTGCTGGATGTCTGCGCGAGCAGAGCACGAGGCGGCATGAGCTATCTCGTCAACTGGCGTCTGCCTCCTACGAACTACAGTTATGGCGGCGTCACGCACGCGTGGAACGCTTGGTGAGATCGGTCTATTCTTTTTTTATGCTGCAGCAGGCGATGTCCGTGACGGAAGGCGCGAGTCTCGACTGCAGCGCCGTTAGTTCTTGCGACCGCCACGTGCGCCACTTCCGTCCATCCTGGGAAAAGTGACGCCATTCATTGTTGCTGAAATGCTCGAGACACGTGCCGCGCGCCACTTCCGGGAAGAACATGGCATCTGAAATCTAGCTCAGTGCTGTGCTGTGCCGCCATGATCTTCCCAAGGGTTGCACATACGTTGCACGTGTCTCCTACGTCGACGCTCCATGTGCTACTTTGGAAACATGATGGGGCTTTAGGAATAGGGAACTGCGAAACTAAGTCGACTTTATTCATCGTCTCAGCTTAAGTCCAGACGCAGCCGATGCTCCATGCACGAGCATGTGGCCCTGAACAGTGCTTGCACTGCACGAGCGCGCGTGCTTGGCTGGGACGCTGAAAGCTCGGAGCTCGCGCTTGCAACACTGGCTGCGTATGGACTTAAGCTGAAACAAAGTATTGTACTTTGGGCATGCAGAACAACTGACACCGCGAAACATGGAAGTAGCGCAAATGCGCCTGTTGTACGGCAGCTCCTGCAGCTGAGGCGCCATATGACGCCAGAAGCTCGCACTTGTCCTCCATTGTCCAGGAATTACAGCTTCAAGCAAAGGGCACACCTTCCAAAGGGGTTCATATCGACCGCAGCACCCTCACGGGTTGTCTATGGGCACGACCTCACAAGCTCCCATTGACTCGTGCGTTGGTCTATATTACCATGAAGTATTTCAAACTCTAGTACACTGTAACAATAGAGCCTGACAGGAACAAGAACGACATTATTCTTATTACAATTTCACAGTGCTGTTCATCGTTGTTTTTTCTCACTCAGTCGATCTTAGACCAACAGCGAGTGAGTTCCCCCGAACTCATTCAGTAGAGGAAGTAATCTTGAGTGAGGGTCCTTAGATGTTCCTTTTGTAAAAGCGCACAAATGACATTCAAAACAAATCTCACTCGCTGTAAATAACATTAAATTTTCCGTAAAATTCCCCGTTGGACAGGGATATAGGAGTAATTACCGTTCTCATCTGTACTTTCTTTATTATTATTTCTGTTTAAAATCAACATTTGTATCAGGACGTGAGGTGCACCAACGCGAACACTCGCACGATTAAGACACATATTAAGCCACACAAGGTGGAACATAGGCCAAATGCGAGTGATACTCCGCTGGAAAACAAAAGAAATTAAACCCAAATAAAAGTAAAAAGGTTTGTTCATACAGTAAAGTTTGCTAATGATGTGCGTTTATGTCTCTGGAATTTACGTTTTCTTACGTTACCTTATTATGAGTCACCCCTGGGCATCCATGCTTCGTATGAAGAGTGGCAATCAATTCAAGGGGTAGCCTAAAACACTGGGAACACAGATGTCCCTGTGACCCATAACGTAACGTAAAAAAACGCACGCAAAAGCTTCTGTGTGAATGGATCGTTGTGGCTAGTTCACAGAGCAACGTTTCCTTCCGTTACGACGCTTACGCCTAGATACAAACGCAAGTCACCGGCCCATGCATGCGTCGTATGGCGCATGCCAAGCTGCTCCTTTCACTGGTTGCAACGCTTCGTACGAAGCTCAGATGTGCCGGTGACTGTCGGTCGTATACCACACCCTAAGCTTGCGTAAGCTTCGTAACGAACGAAAACGGTGCTCTGTGAATCAGCTTTCACTCTATGGTTATGCTGGAACCGTCATCCCCAAAACGAGCATCGTTCACGCAAAGTCATAGCTTTCCTGGCACCACATCTAAAGGCCCTCTCGAAGAGCGCCGAATTCTTGGCAGCTTCGTTGACGATTTCGGCACCGTCGGATGTCCCGCAGTGCCCCAAGGCCCACAGGACAAAGAAGAGCGCCTCGTTGCTGTAGTCCGAATGCAGACGAACGCCCGTCTCAAACTCTTCCCAAAGCTCGCCCAAGTAGAGGTCACGCAAAGGTACGAGCAGCGCCGATTCCGAGACGACCCTCATTGACCGGCTCTCGTCGACGTCGAGTCTTGACGAGAGGCAACGTGCGACGGTGCGGAGCCGGTCCTGGTACGACCTCGGCCAGAAGCTTGGTTCGTCGGGCCGAGGCAGCAAGGCACGCAGCATCGCCGCACCCACCGGAGGAACAAAGACGGTGTCCATGGCAGACGAGGATGCGTTCGCCAGGGCGCCCAAGAGGCCGTGGGGCAGGACCAGGGAATTGGCGTGTCCCAGGAAGCGGACCTGCAGCGCAGTCGCCGACAGAATGGGAATGGAGGGGGGTATCCTTCAGGGGGGTGTCTGGCCTCCAGCACGCTGCCGCCCGTCGTGCTGTCTGCGCCTGCATAGCATATGGGGCTCACGGGACGCTGTAGCGTTACCGAAGGTAGGAAGTTCTTGCTGGAGGCTGGACAACTGGAGGGCCTCCCGGTTGTTCTAATCCTACCAGTGAGTATTGCGAAATCCGCGACCAAAAGCGTCGCTGTGGTCGCATTCGCGATTGGTCATTATAGGGTGCCTTCATGTGCGCTCTGCTTAGGGTGGTGGCATCTCGCCATTTTGTCACACACGTTTATTTTTATTTTTTGTTCAGAAGCGCGTGAAAGAGCGTGTCCCTGCACGCGGTTGTGGCGCTGACTGTGCTATGGCGACATTTTGTTTTCGTCGATTTCTTTGTATTTTTCCCGTGAGCGCGTGTTGTCGGCATGTGGTACTACAAAGGGTGGCATCACCCTAAACAGAAGGACATTGAGGAACCCTAGGTCATTATGACGTCTTTATTTTGGGTCAATTTTGCTTTCATCGACAGATATAAGGACAATATCAGACTACCGACATAAACGGTGTTGGTTAAAAAGTGCGATGGCTCCATGCCCTAATAAAAAAATCACACCCCCATAACAGTATCACACCCTAATAAAATGTCAATAATGCAAAAATTCGACCTGGCTTTTTTATATATATATATGAAAAAGCCAAAAAAATATATATATATAATGGGAATGAGTAAAGATTAACAAGTGCAGCCGTAGTAATATTGTGAACGAAGAGGGGAGAAGGTGATTGTTGAATTTATTGCATCAAAGTTAGGGAAAGATAAAGGGAAAGAGAGCTGGCAAAAAATTGGGCCAGGAGCGGGGATGGAACCCGCAACCTTCGCCTGTGCGGGGCGACGCTTTAACCGATTAGACCATCCGGCCACTGGTTTCGGCGGACTCAATTTCTGACCAGCTCTCTGTGTACTGTTTAGTTTCTAATTCTCTTAACTTGGTAGACAACACAGCAGCCTTCAGCGATAATTTTGGAAAACTGGGTACGTTGGTATGCATTCAATGGTCTATATCAGGGTTCTTTGCACTTTGTGACTAAGGGGCCGGATTAGGTGTCTGTCGCGTCCTTGCGGGCCACAAAAAAAAAAAAGCGAGCAAATATAATTTAGAATAGGAAAATTACCTAGACAGACTTATATAATTATTTAAATACAAAACTTCAAAGTGAAATAAAATAAAAAAAAAAGAATATTTTGAGGTGTATTCACCAAAAAAGTAGACACAAATAACAAGACTTGCGAGTAATACAGATGAATTTACCCCATATATTTATAGTGTAATTTATTATTTAGCTTATTTTGGCAATATACATTAATTGTAGCCCACAAAAATTCACCAGGCATAAATCAAAGGGAATATCAACGTTTGCTTATTCGGCCTTTGGCTGTAACTCCCACGTTAGTTTTTTTCTCTTTCGCAAGTCTTCTCTCTCTCTTTCACAAGACAGAAGACCGATGCGAATAGTAGGACTGGTGATGACAATACGCGATACGCATGACGCAGGGCACTAAGCACATTATACGTGAGAACGCAAAATACTTCTAACGCAGTTACGCAGACCTGAAACAGGGGACTAAGTATGTAGGTGCCTGTGGTGACAATGTGCGATAACTATGGCAGGCAAGCAGGATAAGAATCAGCGCGGATCCGTAGTGTTCGGCGAGCGTCGCGACGCAATTTTTTTTTACACGCGCCGAGTTTTGCGTTAGTAGCAGTGGGCCTGCTGGAAACAAGCCTCGAGTCAGGGGTCACTGCAAGGACTGTTGCCACTGCAGGGCCGTACCCAGAAAAAAATTTCGGGGGGGGGGGGGGGGGGGGGGGTTCGGGGACAACGGCGGCCATTTTTAAAGTGTCTATTGTCTTATTTTCGCCTATGAATTATGTGCATCGGTGGCATATAATGGAGAGTTACAGCAAACCGGAGAACCGGTCCCGGTTAGGTACCCGGTAGCCGACCGGCGCCACTGCGCGTGCGCAGAGGTGGAGATTAAAATCGGCTGGCTGCCAGTGCACCGTTTAGAATTTTTTTAAAACCCAGAAAAAAATTTCGGGGGGGGGGGGGGGGTCAGAACCCCCTAACCCCCCCCCCCCCCCCCCCCCCTGGTTACGGCCCTGGTTGCCAGCCGCGGGCCGAAGTTTGAAGACGTTGTAACCTAAGAACGAAGGGCGAGGGTAAGAATTGCCAGTTCTAAAGGATGGTACTTACTTGAAGTGGGAGCTGGAATTCTACGAGGTACCTGGAGACACTTACTATCGGGCAACGCAGCAGGGTGCCTGTGGGGGCGGAGTCTAGGAACGCTACTGATTAATATTGTGACAGGCGATCAGTTATGATAACAGGCGAAACTTCGACTCGTTTGTTCAGAAGTTCGCGGTGATATTTTATTAGCCCTCGTTACAGCATACCAAGGATCTTAGGCAGTGAAATTCACATCACGCAGGCTCGTCCGTCGTAGTCAAATGAGCGCAGTCGACGATGAGGTGTAATGAGCTACTAAGCTTCACAAGGAAAATGTGCGTGAGAAAGAGTTTTGAGGCAGTCCAAAACACTGATCCAGCAGACGCACGTACGTACGTTTACTCCGGACTCCATGAACCCAACGGCGCAAGATCAAAGCGATCAAAGAGCACCGCCGCCATCGCCACCCAGTTTTCTCTGCACTTTGCGCGACAACGGCACTGCAACGGAGGGCACTCGCCTCGGCGTTAACAATCCGCGAAATAGATTAATTTCCCACTTTTGAAGCCATTCGAATTGATAAATGAAAATACCTCGGCGTTGTAGAACATCTGACGACACAACTGTGCCGAGCGCCTGCTCGGCACCGTTGTTGTTAGTGAAGGCCTGCTTATTTGTAGTTGAGACGATGATTCAACATCTTTCGTGCCACTCGTGGTGCTTGCAATAACTTCGAAGGGCAGGGGAATCTTCTCACGAGGACGTTGAAGACAGTCAACACCGGCGCCACCAAAGCAATCGCACAAACCGTCGCCATGTTTGCTTCTTCTTCGTCACTCGCGGCGTGGTCAACTCGTCGCGAGATGCTTTCTGGCTCGGCTAGATGGAAACCAACAGCGGCAAAGTGGCGCATGGACACACGGCTCTCACATTACGGGCACTGTACTCACGTACCGCGGTAAACAGGACCGATGCCGGCAAAACGGCAGTCGGCACACCTGCGAAGAAGCCCTCAACGGGAAGCGGCGGCGCAGGCCGACGCAGCCCCCCCTCCCCGTGAGCGTCTGGGTTCGAGATTATTGTTCGCTTTTGCTCCTTGCGGTCGAGGCTAAAAAGAGCACTTCCGGACACTGGTCTATAGTTGACAGAGCTTTAGAAGCTAAAACAAAAAAGTATTCAGTACAAAGTTAGGAGCTGTCCTGTACTGCGCGAGCAGTCCTTTTTATATATGCTTTGAGACCTACTGGTGACGACAGCTGCTAACCAAAAACATACTGGAAAAAGGGCTAACGGAAGGTGAACTGACTATTCTAATACCCTGGACACAATGTGTGATGGGCCGAATGCTGCCATCCCTTACTTCTCGTGCTTGTAGTTGTTAATTGAACTATATTTTCATTTGTGTCAACTGTGCTGGTATAGTTTATCGGCCAAGAAGCAAGAGTGTGACAAACTTCTCCATCGTCTATCTCTCCCACGGTATTTCCCCGAATTTCAGGACTAACCGCATTTCGAGCAAACTCCAACCAGCTCGTGTGCAAGGCTCACCGTTGCGTGGCTATCACTTCACAGTTTCTTAGCCTGACTGCGACTCAACGTTACTTCAAAGCTGTGCAACAATTTCAGTGATTTGCTCAAATAATTTGGGAGTTGGTGCCTCGACCTTCCTGAAGTAAAGAACAAAAAACCGCTTTTGCCTGCATGCCCTAGTTTTTATCGTAAAAATGAACAAAGAGTGAGGTTTCGGGTACCTCTTAACTCCTTCACCATCTTCCGAGTCACGTGCGCTGTGACGTCAATGAGGGTCGCGCGGGGTTCCGGTGAAGCTCTGTCTCTAGAGTCATCAGTGAGCAGAGAGAACTCATCCGCTCGCAACCGCGTGACCACGTGCTGGCGCAGCGCGAACAATAAGGTGAAAGGAGGAAAGTCTCATTCAGGTCCGGCTAGGGAGCCTTCATGTGCGCTTTGCTAGGGTGATGCCATCCTTTGTAATACCACTTGCCGACAAACCAGCAGCCATTTTGTTCCTCGGCGATAATCCGTGGGGCTTATAACCCTCCCGGAAACAAGCACCTTATCTCAGAAGTTCGGAGCAGCGTTGTGGAACCCACGGAGGGAGGATTAGCATTTTCCCCCTCGGATGGGATTACCGATGGACACAAAGGCAACTTTCCGGCGCACGGGGAAACAATGAAAGGAACAAAATGGCGGTGGACGAGGGTGTGGGAAAGGGAAACAGGCAGTTGGCATCACCCTATGCGAAGCGCACATGAAGGCACCCTAGGTCCGGCCATACCCGTCCATCTCCGGCTTTTGGCGGCTGTTCGCGGTAGCAGATACAGCTGACGGTTTTGTGGACCTAGGATAGATGGCGCCACTAAAACTCCGTATAATAAAGGTTTTGTCGATGATAACAGGTTTTTGACGCATTTATATTTATGTTGCAACGACAATATTTATAAAAATAATACGTTTTATCGACCAGGTATTCGCACAACTTGCTATTTTTCTACAAGACCCCCATTGACGTCATGCCGCGTGGTTCTCATGGCCGCCGCTCGCGGCTGCAGGTCGGGGAATATTCTAATTTTTGCCTCGCGATTACGCGGCGGAATCGCAACATTTTGAAGGAAGGAGGTGTGTTTTCTGTCCTTTGTGACAAGATAAACAATGTCAAAAGTAGAAGATGCCAATTCTTCCAACGTTAAAATCGATGCACAGCTCCTTTAACGTAG